GCAGGAGAATGCTGTGAACCCTGGAGGCGGAGCTTGCAGTGAGCCGAGATCGTGCCACTGCACTCCAGCTTGCGCAACAGAGCAAGACTCCATTTCAAAAAAAAAAAAAAAAATTTCAAGGTGAAATATTACAAAATCATTTCCCCTGGAACAGTTATTAGTATCCTTTCCTATTCAAGAAATCTAGGAGCTCAACTTAAAACTGATGCCGACCACTCAAAAACATTCTTGTAAAGATCAATTAAAGTGAGGCTAATCATGATTCAAGTTAGATTGGTAACGAATGTGCATTTTAAAGGACCTTTTACATGAAATAAACCATAATCTCAATTAAAATCTAATAAATAGTCATTCTTGATCAATAGTAATTTCATAGTACCCATCACTTATGTAACTTAAATACTACATGTGAACACATACATAGTATTATGCAAATTATACAAAAGACATCACAATAATTATATTATTATGGACCTTTATGAAGACAAGGAATAAAAAAACTTGAATTCTCACCTTACCTCTAGCACTAACAAATGCTTTTACCTTGGAGTTAACTTCTCTGAGATTCAGTTTCTAAGAGATTAGAGCAGGTCATTGGTTTAAATCTTTTTTCTTTTCTTTCTTGGTCTAAAGAACCTTCCTTTCAAATGAAATCTTACAAATAACCCCAGTATGTAAAACAGACGTTAGAGTACTTTGGTTGATACAGGGGTGGAAGACCTTGAGTTCACCTTTGGCTGCCCCATCATGGTTCCTCCTAAGGCTACACCAGATAAGCCATAGGGAGCAGATGACCAGCAAGAACCTTTCCAGAATTATTATTCTAACTAAAATCTTAGCCAAGAGAATGGAATCACCACAAATGTTATCATGAAAATCATTTCAAGTAAATTTCCTATTCCATTCATACCATTAAGTTGAGGCTTGATGATATACGAAAACTTTAACTGAATTGACTTCATAGGCTTAATGGCTTTCAAAAGTGTGCTGGTTATATGAATTCTTGAATTCAAGTTATTTTCCAAAGAGTAAATTATAAACAAAACAACATTTTTATTAATATTTTATGTAAAAATATATATTAAAAAGTAAATCAAGGAGCTGATATCAATCTTTGAAAAGTCATATATAATTTGAGGATTTCATGCAGACTGTCAATAATATCTTATCAAGTTGAAGATTTTAAACCAATAATATAGATTGTGGAATTTAAATGTGGTTCAAACAATTGTAATTAAGGTGAAAGATAATGGATAGCTACCACTAGTCTATTCAGAGTAAGGAAAGGAAACAAGTTCCTAGAAGAACTTGTGTTATGTTGTTTTACACAAATTGTACCAAGATTTACACAAATTGTACCAAGATTTTAAAATAATTCAGACAGTAGTATTAACTAAATAATATCACAACCACTGTTAAAATGGACATGTTCTAGGAATTCAAAACTAACATAACTCAGGTAAGAGCATATAAAAAGTGCCCATGTTAAACATTAAATCAAAGATTAAACAAAATAAAGTAAATTTGATACTCAAAGTCTTAAGAAATTGATTTAAATGCTTAATGTTCCCTCCTTCCACAAGGAACAAATCAGTAGTACTGAAAAATTGATAATTCTCATCATTTTTAAAGTAAAAAAGCTCAGAAAAAAACATATTTAAAGATAAACCTGATTGCTCAGAAATTCCAACTATTTATATTAAAGCAAAAAGTCTGACAAGTTTTGATTTTTGTAGCAACAATGAATTTTGATTTATGATGCTAAAGAATTGTACTCTATTCGACTTTAATATTTCCTGTATTCTCTTTGTTAAGTGACTGTTTGAATGCATAGAAAAATACAAGGAAGGATAAAAAATCCTACTAACCTGGCCCACAAAGTGTTTTCTTCTTACAGAGCTTCGACTATAAAGCTTAATGAGAAAAACAATGTCTCGTTCACTCTGTATAAGTGGAAAAATCATAGTCTCTCCCCACTTGACTCTTCCACTGGAGGCCTTCAGTGAGCGTGTCTTTTTCTTGTAAATCAACTCTCCCGAGCTAAACATTCCCACCTTCACAAAAAAACCTTAAAAATTAGAAATACTGGTTTATAAAATGTTTTTCAAAATACCATATAAAGGTGTGTATATACACATCCAAGTTGGAATTTATATATATAACATTTATTGTAAAAATACAGGTAAGTCACTTTTAAATGTTCGATGAGCTACAACCATAACAGAAAACAGCTCTAGTCAACTTTATAACTTTGGCCATACTTTACTACTATAACTTTAAATGAACTTAATCTTTCTGTGGCTGAATACCATTAAAGACTGGAAATGGTGGCATAAACAACAATCACAGTAAGAGTGCACACTGAAAAGGATCACACTAAAGAGAGGTGCCAATTTTTTAGACAGCTGGAGGTATTTATTTCACAATTTTATATAAGTAAAATATAAAATACTCCAGGAGTTAAGTATATGCCCACTAGATAAAATCTATACATTAAATAAATTTGAGATGTAGAGCTTCCAGTAATGGCAGAAAAGTTTGTATAAACTAACCTTCCCATAAATAACAATTATAAACTTTGGAAAAAAATTTAAAAACACTAAAAGCAGAAAGAAATTGGAGGGAAGTCAACTGGTAAGAGATGGGAACTTCCCTGGGTAAAATTCAGCTTGATACAGCTTTTCACCTAAGCATACTCCCCTATCTGACCGACACAGCGCCTACAGCTCAAGCAGAAAGTACAGTCTGACTAATTGGAGGTGACAGAGCTGGGCTGCCAGGGAAGTAAGAAAGTGAGAACCCCCAGAAAGGAGGGAGCCACAAAGTGAGGGCTGAGAACTGACCATCAGATTGATAGAATGAAGAGCTGTGGTCATCCTGATGAGGATGTTTTAAGGGAAGCCCGTTATAAACCGCAGCTGTTGTCTTTGTTTCCTAGAATTAATTATATATAGTCCTGATGATTTATTCCAAGTTAGGTTTTATTTGCTTATTTTTATTTTAGGATTTTCCATCTATCTACATAGGTGACATTAGTCTATAATTACTTTTTGTGTGTGCTGTCCATTCTGTTTTGGTATCAAGAATATGCTGACCTCACAAAATTACTTTTTCCATCTTCTTTTCATGCTTTGGAGCAGCTTATATACAATAAAAATTACATGTTCCTTGAAAATTTGGTAGAATCTTCCAGTATAATTACCTTGGCCTAGTGCTTTTATTAGAGGCAGTTCTTTAACTACCTTTTCATGGTTATTCTTTTATTTAGATTTTCTTCCTCTTTTTAAGATTCTACTTTCAACCACTGAATTTCTCAGAAAGTCATTTATTTTACATAGATACCCAAAAAATTGGTATAGTTATATATGGTATTGCTTTATATATGATAGAATCTCTTCTGAATTTGAAATTATATCCTCTTCATTGCTCAGAACATCATTCATGTTTTCTCTATTTTTTTCACTTGATCTCACCTGCTATAGATTTGTCTATTTTAATGATTCTTTCAAAGAAACAGCTTTTAGTTTTATTGATTATGCCTTTTGTGGTTGTCTCCATATCTGGCACCTTCAACTTTAGCTTTAGTACCTTACTTCTAATTTCTTTGTGTTTGTTGTTTTTCTAGCTTCTTGAATTGAATGCTCCGTTTCATTTATTTTCAGTCTTTCTAGTTACAGTGAACACGCATTGCTTTTGCCTGCCCCCAGATAGTTCCCTTCTTTTAGTAGGGAAAAGGGGCACTCCTACCCCAACTCAAATCTTTAGGACTAGACAACCAAAGTATCACAACTCCTGGTTGTACACAAAACACAGGGAGGGAAAAGTGTTTCTAGGTTTGTTTTTGATATATATAGATATATAGATAGATAGATAGATAGATAGATAGATAGATTGATTGATTTTTTTTTTTTTTTTTTTTGAGACGGAGTCTCGCTGTGTCTCCCAGGCTGGAGTGCAGTGGCGCGATCTCGGCTCACTGCAAGCTCCGCCCCCTGGGTTCACGCCATTCTCCCGCCTCAGCCTCCCAAGTAGCTGGGACTACAGGCGCCCGCTACCACGCCCGGCTAATTTTTTGTATTTTTAGTAGAGACGGGGTTTCACCGTGTTAGCCAGGATAGTCTCGATCTCCTGACCTCGTGAGATATATATATTTTTTTACAATTAAGTTTCTAGTTAGCAGGGCATTCCACAAAGGGCACAGACCTAGAGAGAGGATAAATCATTTCAGGGGGTAAAATATAACTGAGAATCCTCTAGACATTCAACCTGTATGAACTGATGAGCTAAATAAAACACAGTATCAAAGGTAGAGAGGTCATAACTGGATAACACTCAAGAGACCACTGTATTAAGGTAGACACAATGGCTAAAATTTGAAATCCTATAATTTTAAAGTAAATAAGTTAAATAATAAAAGTTACTAAGATTTTAATCTCCATTGTAAGAAACGTAGAAAAAATACTTTCTATTACTAATACTTTCTGAAGATTCTACTTTGAACCATTGATATACTTACTCAAAGTCAAAGGTGTTGAGGAGCTTGGAAGGTATTGTGCCTCAAGAATTTGTAACTGAATTCTGCTATTTACTGCTTGAAAACAAGTCCCCAATTCAAGTTCTGCATGGCAAACCTGCATATCAAAAAAGTGTCATTTGGTAGTTAAGAATAAAGTTTTTGGGATAATTAAAAAATTCAAAGAGAAAAAGTTAAGGTTAGAAATTTTGAAAGTATTCCTTTCCAATGATATTCAAAACTATAAGCTACAAGAGAAAGTTAAGAAGATAAATATCATGAATTCTTTAAAGTACTCATTTGCATGGATTCTGAAAATACAGGTTCTATCTACGTACTGAAACTTCAAAATCAGTGACACCTAGAGCCAATTCAAATTAAAAGTAAATTAAATTCATAAGCAGTATCACTGGAGAAAATGCCAGTGAAATTAACACAAAAGGAATACACTTTCAAAAGAACTAAATGTAACCAAATTATTTTTAGAGAACACATGAAATATGATTAAAAAGTTACATATGAAAATCATCATTTTTTTCTAATTGTGGAGATCAGGGTAGGTGCTACCAAAATCAGAAGACAGCAATAAACAGATCTGTGGATTAAGAGTTGAATTACTATGCTGAATGGAAGCAAGCTAAAGAAAGCTGGCAAGAAGGAAGCTAGTCAACGTGATGAGGCAGTAAATAATAAGGAAAAGGTCAAAGAAAACCTGAGGCAAACAGTAAAATGAAGGAGACTTAAAGAAGAGGAAAAATTAAAACGTGTTCTTCAGCACTGCTGACCAACAGCAGAAGAAAGTTGGTAATTTGTCTGTGAAATACAACACAAGTCAGACTACTTAGGTGGATTCCAAGGTCCTTGGACTGAAAAATAAAAGGGAGAACAGTAGTCCAAACACAAAAACACTATTGTTTACATGTTGAAAAGAGTAAGAATAGGAATAAAGTAGGAACATAATGTTTACAGATCATACTAGGGCTCAACATAGACAGACACAAAAGTCTTTGCTAGTACTGATTCCAATAAAGTTACAGAACAACTGAATGACACTTGATGAGGACATTTATATTTGACATTGCTCAGTATTCCCCAATAACTGGCTCATGGCTCACTGGAAAAAAAAAAAAAAATACAAAACACCTTTCCATATACATAACATTGACAGAGGCTTGGTGTTTTCTTAAAATATGATTCTGTATTTTAAACTAGTCATGCCATAAGAAATGAAGAGATAGAAAATGAAAAGTGAATTGCTTAACAAGTACAAACTCAACTGTTGGAATTTAATTCCCCCTTGAAAAGGTCTAAATTGATGATAAAACTTGTTATTTGGCAACAAATGATGACTTCTAATAAGTAAGTTAATTTATTGCTTTTGATTGTAATCAGAATGAGAACGAACTAACAACTTTTCACATGAACTAATTTGATAGCCATAAAACAAAACAAAACAGAACAAAAAAACCTTCGCTGATACAAAAAAATTGCTGCCCTTGGCATTTAAAAAATATATTTTAAAAGATAGAGTCACACTGTTTATAAAACACAAGGGAAATCATGGTTAAATTTTTTTATTATTTTTTATTATGGTTTTGTACCCACAATGTAATAACACTTATGAAAACACATAAAGGTGGCAAAACTTCTCTTATTGTTACACAATTGTAGAGTTCACTCTCATAAAACAGAGCAGCATTTGGCAATAGGCTT